AGAAAACATTTTCATAGTTTCGCCTTAAAACGAATCTGGTTCATTTAATACAAACAGAGACAGATTGAGAATATGAAGCTTTTCGCAATCAACTTTCATGATCTCCCAAGCATTTCCGAAAACTTGAGAGTTTCGTTACCTGCGGCTAAATAATGTGTTGAATAATTGATTCCACTGTTCCAAGATTGCTCGCAAGATGATCATGATTTTCAATAAAACCCTCTACTCTTACTCTCCGTATGAGTCACAACATTTTTTTTCAATTTAAAAGAGTTAAATTATATCAAGGCAACAAAAAATTAATTTGCTGGTCATAGGCTACAAATTTTCGACATCGTCGACGCACATGCCGTATTCGCACTCACAAACATTCTTCCGACAAAAAATACGAGTACTTCAGCAATCATATTTTATTCAGTTTCCTAGCACAGTACCTGACAGTGATTCAGAACATTACGTAGACACATTGAAATACGGAGACGGCAAAAAGCCAAACGCACTTTCAGCTATTTTCGAAGTATGTCAAGAAAGAGAAAAAAGTTAGCACAAAAAACTCGATGTGCATCTTGATCATTTCGAAATACTGTACAGTTGAAACCTCAATAACTCAAACCTCTTCAAGTGGAAAAAAATCGACCTACCTTAATTTTTTTCGCGTCCCTGTCTGTCTTCCTTCAAAATAAGTTGTAAGTCGAATTTCTAGGGACCAGGAAAAAAATTCGACTTTGGGAGGTTTCCAGTTGAGGAAACAAACACTTTTGTTGAGAAGAGAAGTGAAAAAAGTGTGGGAAAATCACAAATAAGGATATTCTGGGCCAAAACTTGCTCCTTAATGAGTTTACACCCTGCTGAACTCGGAGGCAGGGGTTCATTTGCGATACTTGTCTTCCAATTCATTTCAAGATGCATCAAATTCCCTGTTTCAATCATTTTCTCTTTCATATTTCAAGGAAATGATAACCAGACGGCCTCAGAAAATGTGACTTACAGAGGTTTAAGAGAGAAAGTCTGAGCTAGGGAGGTTTTTAATGTATTGATTCTAAGGGAATTCAGACAGGGACTTGAAAAAAAATTCGACTCAGGGAGGAATTCGACATAGGGAGGTTCGACTTATCGAGGTTCACCTGGAAGTTTTTTTTCCATTATTTTATTGACACAAGGAAGATTAAAGAAATAAAAATTTAACTTGATGTATTTTGAAAGAAAGTGACAGATGCGTTGGACAAATGAAACCCTGCCGCAATTTTTAGCATCCTGTCAAAAATTCAAGAAACAATTTTAGGCTTGGAATATCATTGATTACGATTTCCTGAAATTATTCATTCTCTCCACCCCAACAAAAATACTTGTTTCCTCTACTCAAAACCTCTCCAACTCAGAATTTTTTACTGGTGCCTCGAAGTTTGACTTTGTAATTTATTGTTCGAGAATTATATGCACACAAAGCAAAATATGAGGTTTTAATATTTTAAAATACATCAGAAACGCATTTAAAATTCTAAATCGAGGAGAGATCGAGAACATGCCGACATCACAACTCATGTTCATTAAACATCATCGACTCAATGAGCGCCTCTTTTGTGGAATAATGCGATCTTATCACACACAAAAATTGAGAAAGATAACTCGCAAATTTTTTTTTCTTTGGTTGGCTTTTTTTCACTAACACGCGTAAATTATTCCTAACTATATTTAGTGCAAGATTCATCAGAACTCATGAGACGAAAAAATATATATATACATATACAGTATTCAGTACAGCATTTTAACTTGAATGACACGGCGGGCATAGGCTCGTCAGTCGAGTATCTTCCGGTTTAACGGTCTGAAAAATTGAAGTGCGTGTTACGATGGGCGGCTTCTTACATACAAAAAACACCTGGTACAAACAAAAAAGGAAGAAAAAAACTAAGACCACCCGAAAGGGACCCAGAAGCCAGATAAGCATCCCTCAGGCGCCTTTCTTTCTTTTTCATGTCGAGGGACGCCAGTGAGTCGAACGATACGCGAGTCGCCTGTCTAATTAGACGGGCGCGACTCGTAAGAGCTCAACCAGCGGGCCAATGAGAAACTACAGAAATTAGCGGGGTTTCTCTTCCTTTTGTCACTTTTCTTTTATTTCATTTTTATTATTTTTTATCTACACAGAGAAAAGGCAGGAAAGCGTCAAAGCAGGAAACCAACATTTCAAGTTCATGGTTCGCAGCAGCTGCCGCATGCATGCATGCATCCGTTCATGACCGAAACAATTTGAATATTTTTTCCTCCTGTACTAGAACTTCTCTACGCAAATTAAGATGCTGACGGAGAAACTATTTTTTTTTTAGGTTAAAAGGAGAGAGAAAAAAGAAGGTTCATGACTTTTTTTTCTTGGGGAGCTTTTACCTAAAGGTGTGGTCAAGGCTTCGGTTCTTCTCTTTTTTTCTTTTCGTGAAGCAGCTCATGCGTCACGTTTTAAATGCGATTGCAGTGCAGTATTTTTCAAGATCTCTAATCAATATAAAAGTATTTCCGATGAGAGGCTCTCGAATTTTGTAAGATAAGAAGAATCACCACAACTGATGTGAAGGGAAACTTCGGAGTCTCATAACGGAGTAGCAAACGGAAAAAGTGAAAAACCTACACAAAACTATGCACAACATCGCATATACAGTGAGGGCCCCGACGTACGGACGATTCGGCTTCGGAAAATTCAAACTCAAAGAATAGACCATTACGTCTGGAAAATCCCTCAAGATACAGACACTTTGAAAATATTTCTAGAACCATTAAAACAATTTTTTTTGGTTTTGACGTTTCTTGAACAAATTGAGCTACAGTATTGACTTTCACAAAAAGTTGAAAATTTTATTATTTGTTCCTTCTTCTTCGTGAGCATTAGAAAAGGCTAATTTTATGTTTCTTTTCATGCGTTTTCTTCCATAATTTTTGCAAAACTTGTGCTTGTTATTTGATTTTTGGGCTCCAAAAGATCAGCGTAGTTTTCTTCAGCTCACTTACAGTATTTTGTCCATCTCAACTGAAGTTGAGAAAAAAAGTTGTATTCAATTTTTGGGGGATTTTCTCCCCCAACTTCTGAAAAACGGAGAAACCAATTAAATGTGTTTCTCTTGAAGTCTATGGGAAAACGTGATCCGACATGCCGACGATCATAATTAAGGACAAGCTTCATGCCCTAATTACGTCATTACGTCCGTATCTCGGGGCCCCCTATACATGAGTACAGTGTATTATTCGGGAAAAGTTCTTTTGAAACATAGGCGGATTTTCTCGCGAAAATTGCTCAAAGTGACACTTTTTCGTTGACAAAGAGAATAGAATCTGCAAAGCGCTTGCATGGGCTGGGTCTGTTGAAACATGTCTGCGTATCCCCTTACTTTCTTTTACGAGAATTGTGTCCGGGATCCGCGAAATGTGTTGAGTCACGATTTTGTAAAGCTAATCAAAGAACATTTTGCACTGGCATACATTTCTCATACGTATAGCGAAGATTAGAAAAACATTCAAGGAGATTCTTGACTGCGATTCTAGAAAAATCAGAAATTGATAAGTATGCAGTATCTCTTCCTTTTTTAAGTACCACAAGATCGACTTCGAACATGAAAAAATTACAAAATAATGAAAAATGTTCCAATTCTCCCGCGCAATCTTGATATTTTTAACCGTTTTCCTTCACCAGAGGATTTTATTTTATTTTCCTGACCAACAATAATGATACAAGAAATTCAAGTTTCAAAGGTTTTTCTCCCCACTCATTTCCTAAGCATATTACAGTGCTTCATTACTCCCCAGTTTGTTCCTCCCCGCTAAACAAATGAGTACTTCGCTGTTTGACGTTTCAGTCCTCGCGACACAAACAAGTACTGTACTGTACATGTTCTGTAAAAGCCCGCCCAACTGAGGGCATTACATGACATAAATCACTCGTTTTCGCAGAAAATAGAAGCTTCGTAGGCATTCCATCCACTAAACTCGCGTGAGATACGTCATGTTTTCCGTAAGCAGGAAAATTCATCGCCAAAAAAGAATGTACTGTACTTGTACTGTACAATAAAAGGTCCTAACAATACTGTACACCAAAACTCAGAGGTGAGATAATAGAGGTTAAAATTGTAGAGAAAAGGTCACATGCGGGAATTTTTCCGTTGAATACAAAAATAGATCTAAAGTTATTTTTTAATGTAGAACTGCCAGCTGATTAAAATTACGCTCAGTTTGGCTCAGCGTTCATTTTATCCCCGCAAAAAAAAAAAAATATGCACCTCTAAAAGCCAGCCAGGCAGCCGCCCAAAAAAGGCGGTCTCAAGAAAAGGGATTCTTGGCAACACTGCTTCAACAATCACAGGCACGTTGGTCACGCAGAAACACTTAGAAGCAAATAAAAAAAAAAATGGGGAGATTTAAGAACCCCACTCTTCCGACCCGCGGAATCCGGGTATGCGTAACGAAGGGAGGCATTTGCATGGGTAAAAACTAAGCACTTCCTCATAACTAACTGGACGAACATCCGGAGCGAGAACGCAATAAAAATAAATAAATAAATAAAACAAGCCAAAAAATGTTCACGCAAGAAAGCCTTTCTTTTTCTCATTAGCTGATCAGTTATTACATGCCAAGTAGGTGCTTAATTTTTCTTTATTTCTCCCTCTTGAAGCGTAAGAACCCTTGGATATGTGGAAGGAATGACATCGCAACCCAATTTAAATCCCTCCTGAGCAAATACAAAACATTCCATGGCATTCTTGAAATTCTCAGTTGAAAAAAAAGGCCAGCATTTGATTGGTTTTAACAAATACAGTAATTGAGGCAGAAACTTGATGCAAGTTTCTCCACACACAAAAAACAATTCGTTCCTTTTTAATAACTTTTTCGAAATTGATATAATTTTCTAAAATTAATTTCAATACTAAAGAAATTCATTAATCCCCTATTATTTTTTTTATAAATTAATAGATGAAAGGATGCACATGAAACGAAGGTTTGAAGCAGTGCTGCTCAACTCAAATGCGGCCAAGGGCAACATTTATACATTTTGTGTGGCCACATTGCAGAGTTGGGGAGTCCTTGAGGGCCCCAATGGACGATAATGTTTGAGGTTCCAAATTTCCCTCCTTCTAAATGACAAGTTTCAAATGTAATTCAGTGCTATTTGTTGGGTCATGAGCATATTCTTACAGAATTCTTGAAAGGGGGGAGCAATACAACCTTAATTTTCAAATCAATCTTTCAATACAGTATATATTTTGAAAAGCGATGGTAGCCATTTTGAAAAGTATATAGGAAGGGGACTGTGGGACAGACAAAGATTCCCTACAGGTTGTATGTTGGGCAGCAGTGGTCTAAAGTTTTGGTGCTCATCATGCTGTACTTCGATTAGAAAATGGAATTTGAACTTATTTCAACCGACAATTCAAAAATGAAAACATTGGAGAATAAAAATTCGATTGACTACGAATAAAGTCAACATTCATGATCTGACTCTTCTTTTTTTTAGTTCAGTACAGTTAATCTCCAAAAATGGGTTGTGCGTTTTACACAAAGACACACATTTATCCAAATTTGTTGGCTGCCAATTTCAGATGCACGTTTACTAAACGACGTGTCGGACCAGGTGAAGAATTGCAGCATAATTTCTTCCCATGCAAAAAAACCACTCGCGCGAACTACAGCACGAGTCAACTGGTACTGAACTTGTTCCAAATTTTTATTTTTTTTGGAACCCGGATTCGCACTGTTTTGATATACGAGGGCTCTGACAAAAGTTCTCGGAATAGAATTGAAAATGGCGCATAATCGAGCTGAAAAAGGCCGATGTGGCGGCTGTTGATGAAAATGGCGGAATTGCCTTGGAAGACCTGGAGGCAACCCTTGGAATTAATGCCACCTTGATTTCAAGAATTCCGAGGGGAAAGCTGGGCTAAAACAACAAAAAAAGTGCAGGAAGGACACCTCATCTTTTGAGTGGAGAGCAAAACTCTGCCAGGGTGAATTTTTGCGAAACATTACAAAAGATTTGTCAAACAGGGCTGATTTTTTTTTCGTGCCAAAGAATATGTTTTCCCTAAAGAATGATTTTTTTTTTTCAGCTGAATTATACGCCATTTTCATTTCTATTCCGAGAAGTTTTGTTAGAACCCTCGTATTCCGCGCCAGGGGAATATTTTTTTGGTTCTTTCCCACTCGAAAAAAAAGAAGAAGAAAAAAGAAGGACTCACCTTTGATTTCTCGACCTGGAACCTGAGCTGAACATCGTTCTTCTCCCTCAACGCAGTCTGACACTGTTTCACGAGGCTTTGCTTCTCTTCGACGAGGGACGCAAGGTCGGATTTCAGCTTCAGGCCACGGGTTCGCTCCTCGTCCAAATCGCACTCCAGCTGCGTTATCTTCTCGTCCGCCGCAAACAATTCGTCTTCCTTCTTTTGCAAAATAACGTCCTTTTCGCGCAGCAATGTTCGCATCGTTTCAAGGTCCTCCAATGCTTTCATCTCCTGGCTCTGCACGCATGACAAATAATACAGGGACTCTACCTTGTTTACTCGAGTAGTACCACACACGCAAACTTTTCTTTCATCCAGATTGAAAGGAAAAAAAAAAGTGCGCGCGTCTTAAGCGGGTAAACTGTGAATTACACTGGATTATAGTGGGAAATTTTTGACCAATTTCGTCAGAAAAACTTACTTTTTCGGAAACAATTACAACCTAGTTTAATTCAGGTTCAATTCATAAATAAATTAAAATTTCTGGGCTCTTATTTTCAAAGTACAGTGAGACCCCCACATGCGGACACCTTGACCTGTGGACAAGTCAACATACGGACACTCATTTTCCCATAACAATTAGCAAAAAAGGCACGACATGAGGACACTGACTCAACAAAAGGACATTTTGTGATAAAATTGCAAATAAGTTTCAGGCCAAATTACAAGAAACAGATATTTCCAACCCTAAAATTGATGTAAGAAGTGGTTGATTCCAAGAACTTCTGTTAGAATGGGTGGGCACATCACCAGAAAAAACTCATTCAATTTTTTTTTCCCAGTTTCCATTTTTGTCTAGGGATGACAAAAAAATTGGTCCTTGGCTAAAAAAGGATGAGGAATCCAATAAAAAAATGTTCAGCCACCTCCGGCAATGCCTTGTGGTTGACTCCGAGAACTTTTGTTAGAACCCTCGTATCTCTCACCAATTTACCTACCATTTAGCTAATTTAAAAAAAAAAATACCTCAAGCATAGATGGACGTCCTTCTCTCTTTTTCACTTGAATAGTTATTTTTACAGAGAATGCCAACATTTCTATGCACTGTGCAGAGGTATAAGTATTCAATTCCCCAAATGTCCATATTGTGTTGAAATAAATTGATTGAATCAGTTTAAATTGGGAGACAATTATGAATGTTATTTTTTTTACAGAGAATGCCAACATTTCCATGTACTGTACAGAGGTATCAGTTTTCAATTTCCCAAATGTCCATATTGTGTTGAAATAAATTGATTGAATCAGTTTAAATTGGGAGACAATTTTTATTTTCATGGAATTATGGTGAGTACTTCGTACTTAAAAAACCAATTAAAAGGGACACTCTAGATGCACTAATTATGTCCGCATCTTAGGGTCTCACTTTATAGCAATTTTTGAGTCACTAAAAATGGGGTGCGCGTCTCGTTTTGATATTTTAGTAAAAAGTTTGACTAAAATACCCTCGTGCGCGTGGTACTTTATTACTGTGCAGTACAGTACAGTTGAACTTTGATAACTCAAACCTCGCTATGAAAAATACTATCATACGTCAAACTTTTTCAAGTACCAGTCTGAATTCCATGGGATATAATCCATTAAAATCCAATCACAAACTCAAAAACGTTCCTCCTGAAATCTCAACAAATCGAATTTTCCGGAGGCATTTTGTCTATTATTTTAACGACACATGTAAGATAAAAAGGATTAAAACGTAATTTGAAAAGAAGTGGAAGACTAGTTGGGGAAAATACACCCTTGGCTCCAAGTTCAGCATCCTGTCAACTCACGTAAGAAGCAATTTAAGGCCCAGGATATCACAGATTTAGATTTCCTGTAATTCTTCTTTCGTTTTCCTTTCAACACAAATGCTTCTTTCCCTAGCTCAAAACCGCACTAACTCAATTCTTTCTTCTTCTTTTTTTCTTTGCGGTTCCCTTGAATTTCGACTGCAATATTCGTAAATAGTCTTTTTCTCGCGAACAGGGTCTTTGAACTCACCTTGGCGTGATCCAATTCATCTTCGTAGCTTTCAAGTCGACTCATCACGTCCTCATAGGCAACGGAAACATCCATGTATTTCCGGTAGTGAGTCTTGAACAGGACGAATCTGTTGAAATCGTGTTACGTAATGAGATACACGTCCGAGAACCTGGGTTTCTTCATTAAAATCGTTTCCTCCATGCCTGGTAGTGCCTCTGCATTCATACACGGCTTCCGTCATCAAAACACGCCCTCATTCAATAATGGCCACGTTATGTCACTGAAGTTAGACTTGCAATAATAAAATTAATAAGTCTAGGAAAGTTTGAGTCGCCATAGGCTAAAGCTTTGTCACGATTTACTAGAATGATTTTGTTGTGACTTGGTTCGGTTAATACGTGTCTCTTCCTATTATATTACAGTAGAATATTTTTTAAAACGAAACGGCAAGTTTACAACGAATTATAGCTCACAACTAATTTTTCTTAGTCACTGCCCAATAGACATTATGCTACAGTGAGACCCCCACATGCGGACACCTCAACATGGCAACAATTCGACAAAGGGACATTTATTTTTCAATTAAAAAATCATAGAAAGGGCCAACATAGGGACACTGACTCAACATGAGGACATCGCATGATAAAATTGACAAAACAATTTAGGAAAATTGACTTAATAGGCTTAATTGCAAGAAACATATATTTCCAACCCTAAGATTTATGTACGAAAAATTCTTTGGTACTTTTCCCATCACTTTCCGATCCATTCAATTAATTAAAAAAATTACTTGTAGCACAGAGAGACTTCCTTTTCTTTTTGTGATTTGGATGTTATTTTCACAGATGCCAACATTTCAATGAACTGTACAGTGGTATACTTATTGGGTTGAAAACATGATCACTGAATCAAATTCAAGTGGCATACAAATTTATTTTCATGGAATTCTAAAGAATATTTCTTCCATAAAACACCAATCAACAATTATATAATGTAAGTCAATGGGAAAACAAGACTCGACTAAGGGACAATTCAACTTAGGGACACTCTTGATGCACCAATTATGTCTGCATCAGGGGGCCTCACTGTAATTTTAATTTAGTCATAACGAAGCTTTCTTGAGGTTCAAAGACTTACTTATACAGCAAACGAATTTTTGCGTATAAAGAAACTTTTTCGAGGTCCCAAACACTTCGTTAGAAACGCAGTTTTTTCATAAAGAAGCTTTCGTAATGTCCCAAACGCTTCCCCGTAACGAGATTCTCATGTACTATACAGTACGGTATTTCATTTGGCCAAACTAGTCATGACTAAAGTCTGCAAGAGTAAATAATAATTTCAACGATAGAGTGGTTGTGACTCACAAAGCCATATCAATAAAATATGCATGTACCGTTTTACGCTACGGGACGTCTGAGTGTTGAAACTGCTGACTAACCATTTTTCCTGGCGTTTACGAAACATTCATAGAATGTGCAAAACTCAACTTTTAAATTTAACACCTCACACAGGTCTCAGTCAATGATGTCGTGAAGGACAGTAGAATCTCGTTACAACGAATACTCGATTACAACGAATTCTTCGTTTCGGTCCTTGCCCGAGAGTCACAATGTTATTTCATTTGTCTTTCATCGACGTTTTCATTATAAATGAGCTGTTTAACTGGTCCCAAAGCCTTCGTTGAACGAAACATAAATTTAAAAAAAAAAAAGATGCAACAACAGGGTTTGAAGTGACTTGCTTCGCTGGAATCGGATGAGGCAGTGACGATTTGAGTCAAGCCAGTTGAACCTTTGCAATTCTTTGCATTATAAAATAAAGCTGGTACAGTAGTAATTTGGCACATTTTTCAGTTTATCTCTTACAACATTGTCGAAAAATTAGCACGTGCTGTTTAAAATGTATGTAAACGGTTAGTTATATGCTCGAAGTTGAACCTGGATAACTCGAACCTCCTTACTTTATTTTTTTGCAAGTCCGTGTTTGATTTCCCCGAGAAACAATGCATCAAAAAACTCCCAACTAAAATTTTCTGAAGGCCTCTTGCTTTTTTTTTGACAAAGGAAAAAAAAGAAAAGCAATAAAATGTAACCTTGTGTTTTGGGTCACACCACCAACAATTAATTGTCTTCTACAAAAGGAGATTGAATGTGAGTTTCAACACCGGGGGAAGCCGTACAATAACGCACTCAATCGAAAATGGCCACGTTCACTTGAAAATACTGTAATAAACTGATCCTATCATCAGTTACGAGAGAGAGAGAGGGAGAGAAAGGCTGAATCCAGACTTTTTGCGCAACTCGACCTTGAGTTCTCAGATTACATCATGAAGTACAATAGTATGATACCCGGTTTGAAGCAAATCTCTGGCAGTGTACTCTACTGTACTCACTTTTGCAAGTCCTCGTGCTTGATCATGGCATCGAGCGAGTCAAACGGGTCCACGATTTCCCCTTCCATGGCCAGAAATCGCGGGTCCTCCAAGCTCGGCATGCAGACACCACCACAGCGAAAATATCGCCCAAATATCACTCACACACACACCCAAGCACAAAATTCACCAGAACTATAGTCCAACGCTTCGAATGTTCCAGATGCTTTCAACAACAACAACAAAAACCCCGGCACTTGTTACAAAAGTCCCAAACACAGGCACACACACACACAAAAGCCGCCGTTTTCTTTCCTGATCTGTTTCCTCGTTGTTCCACAACGTTATAACACTGCACTGAAAGAGAAGCGTCACATCACCGCACGACAGCGACACTTGCGCTTCACACTCGCCGACGATGAGCCAACTGTGGATAGGGATAGAAAGCCAATAAAGTGTTCAGTGGTACATACTAACTATCATGCGAATGGGAAACCACATCAAAGGGAAACCGGATCATTCACACACACACACACACAGGCAATTGGTAAGAGAGTGAGTGTTTCGTAACTGTTGCCTGAGGGGGGCGAAAAAGAGAAGGAAAAAAAAACCAGCGCAGAAGTTCAACTTGCTTCAGGGGGAGACAAAGAACACAGTCGAGTAGAGAAATTGGACAAGGGCCAATCGAGTACGATATTGTTTTCCGTACAGTATTCATGAAAGCCACGTCGTTTTCTTTCGAGATATTTTCACGTTTCGAAACAAAGCAGTAACACAATTTCCGTTACAGTGCGTAATTTACAGACTATAAATGCACCACAACCAAAAAGGCGGAAACGAAGCGATTCAGTCGGGATATTGTGGTGTAACACTGTTCTTCGTTGAAAGCGATTAAAAGTAGGATTGCGGAACAATATTTTGTGCAATACAGTATAAAAAACAATGTCACAGCACCGTGGTAGATCACATTTATCCCTGAATTTAGTGACACTCCGGCACAGTGACACAAATTTCCCTGGAAAAAATCTCTGTCGATTGTGTTCTTCAGGGTAAACCTCAGTCAGTGCCACAAGAAATTCATGGATGTCCAGGATGGAAAATTGCCAAAAATCAAAGATATGAAAACCATTTTCTAAGGATGTCATCAGGTTATTAGTTACTGAAAATCATGTGCCTATGCTCACAAAAAAACTTACAGTAAATTCTAAAATTTGGTTTCTGAATGTAACACTGTTGAAAAATATGGATTACACTGCAGAACACCTTCCTTCATTTGAAATTTGTGAAAAAACGCAGGGGCTTTTCTCAAAACATCGGTGATTTCTGTATGTTGACTTGATATAGAACTCAAACTGAAAAAAAAAACATGTATGAGTCAACTCCACTCTTTTCTTAGACAAAATACGAGCAAAAATCCAAAATAATCTGTCTTATTTGCTACATTGATCTACAGTAGAAAAACAGCGCATTTCAGCTTCGAAGTATTTCTTGTGGCTTTTTGACTTTAAAAAACAGACTCAATGGCTTAACAATTCTCAAACCAGCTTATTTTGCTCCTTAGAGTTGAGTTCCTCAACTGAACCTTCCTCGCATAACATAAAACAGCCCAAAATTAATGCCACAAAATGTATCAGGAAAAATGCTGACACCGAATCGGAATTTGACTGCAAAAATAAAAACTGCGCGACGAAATTAAAATCGCATAGAAATCAAGCCACATTTTAAAGCAAGTTTAACGAACTAAACCAAGAATGAGGAACTCAGGCATTGCGGATCACTCATCACCAATGAATATCACAATAAATATCAAGGCATGGAAAATGAAAAAAAACAAAGCCTTAGAACGGCCTCGAAAGTAGCTTAACAAGCTCAGACAGCTAGGTAACGAAGCATTACAGACACACAAGTGATGCAATGAAAAATGCCGCGCGCACGTTAAAGTACTGTACAGTACTACCGAAGCAATCAAAAACACGTCGAACGACTTCATTATCTACGCGTACTATACGCATAGAATCACATGATTCATATTTTTCTCTACTTCGAGAAAGACGGACTATAATTGGGAATATATACTGGATTAGGGTAAGAAAACCTCACTAAGTCAAATAATGTCCTGCGTTAAACTTTTTTCACATCAGTATGAACTCCCTTGGAAAAAATGCACCGAAAACCTCCCACACGCAAAGGCTTTTCTTCTCAAATCTCAATAACTCGAATTTTCTGGAGAACTTTTAGAATGACACAGGAAAGAGAAAAGCAATGAAAATGTAACTTTATGCGTTCTGAAAGAAACTGGAAGATTAATTGGGTAAATGAACCCTTGTCTCCAAGTTCAGCATCCTGTTAACTCATGTAAGAAGCAATTTCAGGCCCAGAATATCACTAATAACAATTTTCCTGCAATTCTTCTTACTCTCCTCCCAACAAAAAATGCTTCCTGTCCTAAATCGAAAACCTTTCCAACTCGAATTTGTCCGCTGGTTCCTTGAAGTTCGACTCGATGGCAATACACAAAACACATGCAGTACTACATCCTAAACGCCATTTAAGGCGAGAATGCTCAGTACTCGTGGCCCTTGGGAGAGAAAAATACGAAACCCCCAGACCAATTTTTCACAATCACGGAATCTTCATTCCAAGCCGAGTCGTGATGCTCATCGTCGTCAAGCTTCACGCCCATTTCCTGCTTTCTGAAATCAGGGACGGATGGAGCATCTTTCCTGTAGCTCCCTCTCACAACAGTTCCTGGTACACGCTTCGCCGATTCCGGATCAAATCTTCACCGCGAAATCGCAAAAAAAAAAACCACAATAGTCGTCGTAACTTCTACAGACCTATAAAACACACTTCAAATTCGGCTTACATTTACAGCAGAACTGTACAACACATGCACTTCAAAATAAGAGTAAGCGAGCAGAACAACGAAACATCAAAAGTTGGATCAACGTCCGTTCAGACTCGGCGGTCATTCGTCCATTATATAGATGCTGAGTCGAGTTTCACACTTTTTTATGTGTGCTACTTTAACACAATTCTAACCGCGGATTCTATCGTTCATGGGTATTGCTATAAAAGTTCGATCCGGGTCTCGGATTCATTCCACAGTACTGCAGTTCGAATAGCCGACTACCACTCACAGCAATGAAAGAAAAAGAAAGGTTTCACATAAATCGGAGCAGTTACACTTTTAGATCCACTTCACGCGGTGGGGATTCGTCGCCTCGTTTGCAGAACTAAATCGCTTTGATCAACAATTTCCACGAACGAAATGGCGAACCCAGTGCAAACCTCAAGAACTCGTCACGGAAAAGAGCTCAAGAGGAAATTCGTAACATCGTTTCGATCTATTCCGAGAAGTCGACATCAACTCAACACCCCATAACAACTTCAGCACTCCACAGATTCATCTTCGCAAGAAAATGAATGTAAGCGATGCTCTATTGGTCTCATTACACACAGAAGTATGAAGAAAAGGTTCTTTCACCATGCTGCACAACTCACATCCTACCCGTCCGGCAAGCAGACAGGGACTGACCCTCGAATAACACCCTAGCCCAGAACAGCCCTCAGAGCGCGGCGCGCGCAGGGATGCCAGCGGTTCACGGCACGAGAGAGGGAGCGTACCGAACAACCAAGGGGCAGCTGCATATCAGGGGAAATGAAAAAAAAAAATTCCAGGAGCAACTTTCTCAACAAAATATTAAAATCATGCCAGCATCATACCTTCATATGCTAATCCATTATACATCATGGTATAGACAAAAGGTAGATTTCAAAGATTTTCCAGATTATTTTTGTCAACTTCATATGTTTCTCAGTATAGGGTCCTACACTCCAATAAATCACACTCATCCTGTGCACTTCAGAAAATAATGCTTCCATCACATCAGAAGTATTTGCTCGTCCAGGAATAATTCACTGCCAATTCTAATAGGCCTTCAAAAACGCCTCTGATTCCCATGAGGTTTCCAGACTTTCACAAGCTATCCTGGCGTAGTTCTTGGAATAGGCTTGCATTACTCAAAAATTCAACTCCATTGGAACTGTCCCTTCCTGTGATCACACTACAGTACCAGCATGTTTTAAATACTGTTCAAGAATGGGCTATCTGGTATAATCTTTCTTATCAACACTAGCTGGAACAGAATCCAAACTATATTCCACAAGGGGAATTAAAAATTTTCAAGGATAATTGGATCAGTGATGATGCTACCTTTCTGTTGATGGAACAGTAGAATTGCATTACAATAAATCATGTCATAGGAAATTTTTGGTTACTAGCAACAAATTTATTTTGTTGGTCCCTGTCCAATGCAGAGAACATTAACCAAATTGCTTTTTATTTATTTATCACCAAATTAAAGCTTTTTCACAAACCGAACAGCTTTCTTGCAATGAAGTTTTGCCGCAGTTCTTGCCTACAACATAATAGTCCTTCTTCATAGCTTCTTGCTGAAAGAAAGTGTGAGAAACAAGGAACCCAGTCAGCAAGAGATGAGGAAGTCAACATGAGAAAGCTACATTTTTGCTCAGACAGAGGAGCCCACGCAGTTGTAAAAATCCATAATAGTAATAAATTTGCCCTCATGCTAAAAAGGTAATGATACCCAAAAAAGGTGCGGTAAAAGCAAAGAAACTGTTCCACCAGAACAGCAGGGATTCATTTCCTCATTGTGTTTTTCCTGTCAAAACAACACCATCACCAAACAGTGGAACCCCAATCCCAGGTTGTCAACTCAAGGCATGTTTAAAGGCCACAACATCATTCTCACCCATTGAAAACAAAAGACTAAAAGAGCCACCCCAGATGCCCTGAAGGAAGAAGGCTCAGAATTTTGGGGAATGATCTTCCTCAAAAACCTATTCAGAAGAAAATTGCAGGAGCAAGAAAAATTGCCTCTGACAATGTTGAGGAAACCAGAATTCTGCATAAGCTTGACAATTCATGCCCCACCTCATTACCAAACCACAGAGAAGGACAACCATTGCAAAACTCAGCAAATTGCCAATCAGAGAGCAGGCTATAAGGACCTGACTCAAACCACCAATCAGCAGATCAGTTCCCCAGCTTTGCTTGTCACAACTCAATGCTGATGTCAAGTAATTTTTGCCAAGACTTCTCTGCTGCTGAAATTTTGCATCCTCAAAAACATCAAGTTTGGGCAGTTTTGGGATTTAATCCCATCCAAGTGGGGAAATTGGTGCACACTGGGGATTTGTTCATAATTCTACAGTGACCCTGCTGTGCACCTGACCTGTACCAAAGTTCTTCTGTTGCACATGCATATCCCCAATGTGCACCAATTGTGTGTTCCCACCAGGATTACTCAGGGTCACATTTGTAAACAAATAAGTTGCACCAAGGTTACAGTTGGTGCATTTGTGTGATGCTCCTGTTATGTCACATTTGTGCACCAAATGTAGCC